AATAACTGTAGTTGACAGAATTAATGCGGTTAAAAAGTAAATAACAATCGATTTTTAATCTGTTGTTTAATTTGATTCGTAAACTATTTTAGGATAATTTTAAGCTGCATAAAAATGTTTACAAATAACATTCAACCAAAGATATATCAAGAACGTAATTCGACGAGGCATTCTATGTCGGCTATGAACAATGTAACATATTATTACCTTTTTACAAACTAAGTAACTGTAATAATATTTAATATATAGATACGAGAAGAATTACAATACATCAATAGTGCTCTAACGTATTATGGATTAATTGATGCTTTAAGCTATGATGAGCTTGACGAATACAATCATATAAATACTGACTTTGGATACACAATGTATGTAAGTAATGTTTTAGTAACTAAAAATAAATAGGTATAAAATAATTATTAACTCGGACAATTTGTTATTAAAAATACGAAAATGTGTGAACAAAGCAATTTTTAGATTTAAACAATGATTGGACTTCATGAAAATTTAATGGCACTACTTGAAATTAACATTATAAATTGGCCTTCTCAATCTATCTTAAAAGACTCATAAAATATCGTAGATTTATAATTTTAACAGAACAAAATAACAGATATCAGAATTAAATTTATTGTTTTTTGAGTATCAATTCTGTAATTCATCTCTGACTGACTTACCTTATTTAGATCAACGATACTTCAAGAAATAAAATATTTTTCATATAATATATAACATAAAATGTGTAATGTTAATATTTTAAGATATTTACACATAAAATGTTGGGTAAATTAAGTATTTATGTAATTTATATGTAATAAGTTACATAAACATATAATAAGTTTAAGCTATGAACACATAAAACATTTATCAGGAATAATAAATTTTTTTAGTTTCCCGCAACATTAAAAACGTTTAACCATTCTACTCTCCGTTTATCTATCATTGAATCTTGTTAATTATATTTTGCTAATTTAAAAGAAATGTGGGTTAATTAGAACATTAACGGATTTTCTGAACATATAATAACTATAATTTAAATTGCATAATGGTTAAATCGTAAATTTGTTTAAATATGAATATTGTAACACAGGTAATGTGATAATGGCTATAGAAGCCAAGATAGATTAACAATAAAAAAAAGTTACTGTCGTTTTTTTAAAAATTAAACTTTGAGTTAAATACTAAACTTGAAAACCGTCTGTAAACGCATCTGTAAACAATGGAATAGAAAAATGTAATAACATTTTAAACTAAGGAAGTTAAGTCAAATGAAGAAATATACGGGTGGCACGGGTGCCTTCCATCGTCTATCAATGAAAACAGTCTGGGTATCACCGGTAACACCCACCTTCGTCAACGTGTTAAAGTTTGATTATTTTTTAAGATTTCTTTTATTTATACTCCCATAAGTTTATAGTCATATTTATATTTAGTTAATAGTTTATATTTTACCGTATTTTTTATTTCAAATTTTCAAAAATTAACATTTTTTGTTATTTTTATCATTGGATTAAAAGTTAATATCATAGTTCTCCATTATAAAAACTTCAACGTGGACTGAAAGGAAAACATCTTAGTGGGTAATACGACCCTCAACCTCAAAAACAATTTGTACCGCCATTTAAAAAAAATTTTTTAGTTTTAGCAGCCTTTCATTTTTTTAAGAGGAAATTAGGAGAATTCCTCCCTACCCACTGGGTAGTCTCCAGTCACCGTAACCAGTCTATTTCCGATGACTACCCCCCAAATAAGAGTTCTGGATCCACTCCTGTGTGGGAGATCGTATTAAGTGGAAGTTGAGGATAAGGATGGCTAACCCCAAAAAAGTTGGAATAAAGGCTAGGAAAAAGAAGAAGAAGAATTAATTATAAATATAATATTTGCGTACATAGGTCATAAAACCTCAAGCCAATGGTACTTATGCTTACTCAAGTGAAAGTTTTTCAGTTAGCAATGCGTTTACAAAGGAGATATTGTCGAGTGGTGATAAATGGGCATTGTGTGTATGTCGATAAATTACTAAACTTATTATATTTTAATTAAAATTTTTTCTAATTATTTAGGCTTATAAAATAAAAAATAACTTATGGCCTTCAGAAATGAAAGAAACAGAACTGCTCTCAACAATTTTATCACTAAAATTAGTAAAATTCGGTGATTCCCGACCTTCAAAGATCATGGCGACTTATACATTTAAAAATCCCATTGATATATACATGAAAATAAACAAAACAGAAATTAATTCGACAATGCAATATACTATAAATATAAAGCCTAATGTTTCTAATGAGGCATCTGATGTATCAGTGCTTGTTCTAAAAATCGATATAAAGATCGTTAGAATACTATTTGTCACTATTAGTAATATGACTGGCAATTTACTTGTAAGTATTTTTTATATCGTTACTTGGAAATGTCTAATATCTTAGGCAATTTTTTTTGTAATATGAGTCTTCTTTTAGTGATCTGAACTATATCAAGTATGTTAACATACGGCGTTAATATAAGCGAAAAAAATATTTTATTAACCTTAAATGATTTTGTCCGCTTTCTGACTAAAACCGTCTCCTCGACTGATATATTTGTCCAATTATTATTTTGTTTGTTTCCGCAGATTGTCGGCATACTATGCTAAAGAGGGTCAACGAGAGCACGTGATCTAGGGTGCAATATATTTCAAAAGCCCCATAAAAATATGAATACCTTTTTTTTTCTTAAGATTTATTTGTTTAAAAATATATTTAATATGGGTATCAAATAAGTGATTACTCTAGGCCACAAATGATAGTTAATACGGTACTGATTGTCAGTATAATTGGCTCAAATCAATTAGAGATTAGTTCTGGTACTATAGGAAACATTTCTACAAGTACTGTCGTACTTGTTAATATGGGTGCCCGCAGAAAATTTATCAGGAAGGGGCCTAAAAAAAACTAAATACCAAAAAGTAACATTAAATAAAGTGTTTATTAACTGAAAATTGCAATATTTATATATATATATAAAAATATATAATTATTATATATATTCATGAGTCATTACTAAATAAAAATTGAAGTCTTCGCGGTTGTTCTGTTGCAAATTATAATTATACATAAAGATTGGTTATAATTTTTAAAAATGTATTTCCAAAATCCAGGGGGGGCAAACACCCCCTCTGCGGGCGACCATGCTTGTCAAGAGTATTAGTTATTATTACAATTGTAATAACTTAAAGTTAATTTTGTTCAGTAATTTTAAAATTCATTTTAATTACAAAAATATTGTCTAAATTTTTACTAACATGATTTTTAATTTTATATTAAGCCGTGCTCTAACTACTTTGTTATTAAAACAGTTATTTCTTAAATTCCAAAATACGCAGAGAAAAAAAAATTTGAGGAGTAAGTGCATTTAAGTATTTTAGAAAACGTGAGAGTTATTTTTTAGAAAGAGGATTTTTCTTTTGATAATAGTTATAGTATTGGAGAGAGGTAATTACTTCTATAGTACCATTTATATCTGCTTTTACAAAAAGTAATAAACTTTTTAACTTTACTAAATAAACTTAAAATTTCAAAAGCTAATTTAAAGAAATGAAAAATAAAAAAAAACTTCTAAATAAAAATATAATTAATATTTTAAAATACAATTTTAATTATTATGGATTAAGTTTTCATGGGTTCGAAATGTGAGGCCTGATGTTGATATAATGACAAATGAAATGTATACAATTGAATTATTATCAAATAAAACCCATAAGTTAAAATTGTTGCCCCTAAGTAAGCATGAAAATGATTTACATTACATAGGAATTTATCCTAGCACGGTAAAATATATAAAAGTTTTACTTTTTACAACGAATTTCAAAATAGTTGATTTACATAGAAAGACATCAAATCGGCAAGTAAAAATGTAAAGAACTCAACATTAAAAGTTATGTTTACAATCAGTTTATTTAGTCCTCAATGTTTGCATTGGAATGGGATGGAATGGATCAACAATAGAGTAAAGGTATTATTATTTGTGTACATAGGATCATAGGCGGACATAAGATTAAATTCTTGGGGAGGCTAGAATAATTTTTAGTGAAGTGACTTGCAGGAGCTTTACCCCTTATCAGACATACAACAATATTTTATTAATAAATTATTAATGACATAATAAATCAATATTAATGCATAATAAAATACTTTTAATAATGATTTTTATTTCAATAAACTTTATCTATGTCTAAGCTTAATTATTATAATTATAACTATAAATTATTAAGTATTTATTTATATATCATACTTATAAATCAAAAAAATAGGATTTGATGTTGCTTTTAGAATAATCCACCAATTATATACTATAAATAGATTCGTATCGAAGCGTTTTTTTGATAGTGATTTTAATTACTATCAGATATCATTTATACTTGTCTCAACTATGCCATGTCCAATGTACTTCAACCTTACTGTGCTAACGTGTTTTGTTCATCATTATGATATTTATTGTTTTATTTAGCTATTTTAACCTATACATTATTCTGAATAAGTGATTACATGTGATTAGTGATCATATCATTCATGGTTAAATTTGACAGTTGGTAGTTCGATAACTCAATACTATCGAAAAACATTCGTTCCTCTTAATAGTTTCAGAATATTGAATAGCTTTAATAGTATTCACTCGGTAGTGCCCATCATTAATAACATTGATTGAAAATATTTATAATCTAAGTTCAAAGTAAATTATAGTTAGTATAAAATTTGAAGCAATGATTCAATTCTGAGGACTAAAAAATTTTAAGTGGTGCTAAGCACCCCTAGGCCCCTCCCCCCGATGTGCCGCTTATGCATTAGACATCAATAAAAAATATTAAGATCTAAATATTTTCAATAATTCTAAAAATTCAAAGTATTATAGGTTGGACCATTAACTTCACAGTCTATAATTCATTGCCAGACCAACCATCTATCTTTGTTTAGTAGTACTGTTTTGCCGTTGCCAAATCCGGTGGATCCATTAAGTGAGATTTTTCATCCAGAATCCGTAGAAAAAAATGCAGTTTGTGAGGTTGTTCTTGTAAGTCTACTAGTCATATTCATTTCATTACTTTTATGGGCCAAGTACCAAGACGAATTGGATATTTTAAGAGTTAGTTCATTATAATTTATTATATATTTGTATTCATAGTGTACAATTCTAGGGAGGTATTCATATTTTACCCGATAACTACCCGTGGGAAGAAGAAGTGTATCTAATAACAGTGTTTACTGGGAATGCTGGTACATCGGCAAATGTTTGTATTCAGTTACATGGTACAAAAACATCTAGCAGAGTAAATATATATTAAGAACTTTTTTATATGTTATATACTTTAAAAATATAAATATATGTATTAAAATAAATCAGGTCCACTGGCTGTATAGTCACAATTGTGATGTATTGCAGCGTTTAAGTGACGATTGGTTCATTTTACTGGAGCCTGCTCCATTGGGTGAAATCGAATCAATACATTTGTGGCATGACAATTATGGTGATAAACCAGAATGGTATTGTAAGCGAGTAGACGTCATAGAAATTCGACGGAATATTAAATGGAATTTCATTTTGGAACGATGGTTTTCACTTTCAGAGGATCATCAAAAGATCGATCATATCATACACATCAATGACCCTCAAATTATGTCTAGTAAAGTAATAACACAAGGAATCTTGTTGTTGCGAGATGAACATTTATGGGCTAGTATTTTTGTTCGGTAAGTTCCTTGCCTTTTGAAGGCATTTGAAGACGTCTTGTAAAACAAATAAAAGAAAAATATATTTTTTCTTTTTCTTTTAATATATTCATATAAATTGTTAGCTATTATTCTGTACCTTGGGTCAAAAAAAACCTATTTAAAAGAATGAAAAAAAAATGCTTATATTTTTAAAAAACCACTATACAGTTCTTAAGTATGTTAGCAACATAATTTAAGTTTCCTTAAGTAGAATGAGAGTTTTTTTTTAACTTAGATGTTCTACGGTAATTATTTGAAAATAGAAAAAAACATTTTTATTATTGTAGATAGGCCCTTCCTTGACTCAAGGTACATAACTATTGTTTACAATTCATTTATTGGTAAACGTAGACATTTTAAATGTACTAGTAACTTTTATTTTACATCTATCAGCCACCCACGATCAGTATTAACACGCTGCCAAAGATTAGCAAAAACAATGTGTCTAAATATTTTGATAAATATGGTGATAAGTTTGCTGTATTTCGATTTTAAGGAAAGTAAATTGTTGTTATCCTTTATTATAATTTGTAATTTTTGTAATTTGTAAAGTCTTAACTTATATTTATTTATAGCTAATGAAGAAAATTTCTTATATTTTGAAATAACATTGGAACAAGTTTTAATTTCAATTCAATGCAATTTACTACAAATATTTTTTACATTTTTTGCTTCCTATTGTCTTAAGTATAATAGTTAATAAAAAATACGACTATAATTAATCTATTTAATACTTAGTCGTTGTGTTTAGCAAAGGTGCAAGATATGGCAGACAAATAGAAGATGAAATTATCGCCAAAGGTATTTTGTAATTAGAATTGCACTTGGAAAATTGTATAATAATAAAAAAATTTTCCTTGCAATAATACATTTTAATCTGATATTGAAATTATTGCTGATTATATTAGCTATAATATTCAACTCGATTTACTAGTTTTTAATTTTTACTATACTTACTCATCATAATTTCAAATCTTATAATATTTTAGTGTTAATTTTAATTTTTCTTTTTTATTGACTTTATTCATTTGACCACAATTTTCTAATATAGTTCCACTGTGGAAGAGAGTATTTGTCAAGAGACTACCTTACATTCCGGCAAAAGTTATCACGAAAAAAAATAGAAAATGGACGATAAATTATTGGCTTGTATTAGGATGGTAGATATAATGATAATTAAGATGCACTTTGATGTTTGATGAATAGAATATGTACATAGGTTCATTTGTATGACAATTTGCATATTATCGTGCATATACATTGTGGCATACGGTTTTAAATTTGGAAAAATTAAATCTTTACATTGGTTAATGGCAGTAGTATTTACGATACCTCAGACCATCATAATATCTCCAATATTCATATTTTTATTCAACGGTATTGCATTTCTTATCAATAAAGTAAATTAAATTTCATAACTTAAATAGTAGTGGAGAAAAATCTCGATTATTAATTCACTTTTGTNTATTGCATTTCTTATCAATAAAGTAAATTAAATTTCATAACTTAAATAGTAGTGGAGAAAAATCTCGATTATTAATTCACTTTGAAGAATTATAATCTTATAACTAAGATTATAATATTATCATTTTGTTAACACTTTTACTCACACTAGTAAAGTACTTTTAAAGTTATTAGATTTTTCAATTATTTTATAATCGGATACCTTTCAAAATTACTAAAATATATCAAAAATAGAAAGGGAAAATGTAACTTTTTTTGATAATATTTTAAGGATCAAAAATATTTAATTGATTTATTGGATACATATGAAGTTAATTTAGACCAATTTCGAGAAAATTACAAAAAAAATGTAATAAACCATATTTCAGTGATTGAACATATTAGGAGAGTGAGGAAACGAATTTTTTACACTCCTCCAGAAAACATAATGCAGGTAAATAATTAAAATTTTTTTTTGTTTTTAAAAATTCGCTTAAATTAATATATAATTGATAGATGACTGTAGAAAGACGAAAGCAGAAGTTAAATATTCATTTTAGATCTGAAGCAACATTATGTGTCTGTTTAATATTAACATCAATGTGTTGCATATGCTCGTTATATTCGTTAAATAACCCTTCACATATAATAAAAATCAATATTATGTATAAAAAGTTTATGAATAACCTTATAAAAACTAATGTTATTGATTTAGAAAAGTAATTTAGATTGTTTTATTTAAAAGATAAGTAATTATATCAGTTTTTTAATAAATCATAGACTGAAATCATTTTTGATTGAGCAACTAATTAAACAATTAGATGTTAAAGAATATTACAATGGATTGCCAATAACAAACGAATCTTCTTTACGTAATTATATAATAATAAATAAAATTGTCTTAACTTAATATTAGTGTTCTATTACCCATAACTATTTAATAACTAAGAACAGTAGAGTAGCAAAAATTTCTTAATTAATGTCTTAATTTTTAAGACATTTTAAAAAATGCTATTACATGGCAATTATTGAAATATTTTTTCTGTTGGTCACTTCATCTAGGAGATATGTATATTATAATATTATGTCCAATACTCCCATTAGATATAATATTTATCTCTAAACCCTCTGATTGAGTGTTTCCATAAGTTATAAAAGAACAGGTTCTTGTCCGGGGATTTTGTTATTTATAAACAGAGGCATAATAATAAGTCTTTCAGTTGCAAAGGCTGTACAATTTAAAAAAATTGATTCTTTAATTTTACTTTTTTTTTTAACAAATTAGTTTTTTACTAGATAAGAAAAAATAAATTTGAAAAACATTTTGTTAACATATGTTTTTTTGCAAATCAATCACTCAGATATATTATTTCTATTTCATCTTGTAGTATTCTACTGTAAGATATATATTGAAGATTCGAACAGTACTCACCCTTAAAAAGTTAATATAATAAATAATAAAGATATACTTATATATTTTTTTTAAATACACGGATCTTAAAGAAATTTATATTGACAATACTAGAGAAAAAAAAATTTCTTTTAATATGCTTTTAAATAAATCCACTTAAAACTTAGTACAGAAAAGATTTTAACAAAGTTATCTGTATAATCAGATTTTTTTTCTCTTGAAAATGTATCGAAATGCCTGACAATTTTTAACCTAAATTAAATTAAAACTTGTAAATTGTACTATAATATAAAAAAACAAAAATTCTGTAGATTGTTCTACTATGAAAAATCGGCCGCTAAAGTAAATAAAACTCACAATTTATTCTAAAAAAAATTTTGTTTTCAATTTTTAAAAATATTTTGGGATATCTGACACATTAATTACCATATCAAGTTAAAGATTTTTATTTGTACTTTATTTAAAAAGAAAAAGAAAAATATCCCAACAATTTGACTAGATGAACAATTTGTTATTAAAAGTCTAACATATTTGTTAGACTTTAGTAATATCAATTTTATTTTTTCATTTCTTTCTTTATGAATAAAGCATATTAATGCGTTTTATATTTGTGATTTTAATTATTGTTAAATAAAAATCTATAATGAAGTCCATTATGCTGAATTCCCGACTATATTTAGTTTGAAAATATTTTTAAAAAAATTAAAATTTTTTTTTTTTGATAAATTAATAAAAATTCTTTATGCAGGTTTTTTTTTAATATTTAACTCACTTTGTCAATGAAAATTTTGAACACTGTTACAGCTAAAGACAGGGGTTGGTACGGATTATATAATAGTAAAATAATGAATGGAGGTATAAGAATACGTCAAAATCGTATTAAAGAAGAAAATAACGAATGGATTAGTGATACTAGTTCTTATGAACAAGGATGGAATAAAAAAACAGACAATAAAAATGAAAAATCATCATGGCATCATCAATCTCGGGATAATCGTCTTAATTTCCCATCAATGTGTAAGGATGTATACAAATAGCTTTTGTTTTCAGTTTAATAATAAGGGCAATTTTATTTCATCAGTGTTTTTGGATTTGGAACAGCCTGGTTACATTCTAGATTTGTTTAATGGACAATCTTCTTGGATATTAAGTGTACAAGAGCATCTGGACACTAATTGGCTTGACAATAGAACTCAACGTTTAATCATTGAGTTTTATTTATATACCCCTAACGTGGATTGCATAACTATGTTTTCAATTATGTTCAAAACTACAACACATTTGTTATACACCCCATCTATATTGGTAAGAAGTTGCGTCTTTTTTAAATAATCACATTGATATTTAAAATTATTTAACTAAATGTTTGTTAGTAAAAATAAAAACATAGATTACATTTTGTAAGTTTGATATTATCTTTGTGAAAATAATATTCAATTCTTCAATTCCTTTTTCTTCGGTATAAAAACTTAGTCATACCCCTTTGTCGTATGTATTTATTAAAACTAATAACAACATTTTTGTTGTATTCTAAAAAATTTTTAGGAAAGTGTAATTAAATAATAAAATGAAATTATATGTAAGGTAGGCGCGGGTAATGATGTCTAACTTTTATTAAGCTTAAATATACTTTATTTAAGGCCAGATCTTATTCCCCCATATTTTATTTATTGAAATTTATCTTATTGTTTTTAATAAATATTGTTGAATAGGTTTTAACAGTGCCATACAATTCAGTGTTTGCTACATGGTTGACTGATCTTACAACTTTACTATTTGTAGTATTTTACATGTGTTTGATATTTTGGTTGATAATTCCTATTATAATCAAATTTACTCAACAAGGACTTACAGAACTCGGACAGTTTCAAACTTTTTTTGATTTGCTAATTGTTATTATGATGATCATAATAGTGTTAGTATTAGACGGACGTCGACGTTTGATGTATGTGGCCACACAAAAGTACAATAATGTATCAGAAATAGAATTTGTTACCAAAATGACTGAAATTTGTCGGGTTCACAACTTTGTAATCGGTTTAGTAACTGTTTCTTTAGTCATGTCTATACTTCGAATTATTTGGTTAGTACAATACTTTGGGGGAAACTGGAAATTTATTGTGGATACATTACATTTTTCTTCAACTCAAGTGATATGGGTTGTTATGTGTTTGGCCTTATTAGGCTTTGGCGCTTGGGTATATTCAGCGGAGGCGACTACTATAGGCAGTGACGAATTTTTCAACGCATCTGTACTTGGTAGCAACGTCTTTGGCGGTCATCCATTTCTTACAGCAGTTGTATCTTCATTTATTGTGATGGCTTTCAAATCCGCCGTAGTATCTATTGCTACTAAGTATTACATTATTTCTAATATATATTCAAAATATAGACAAGTTTAACAATTTCTTAGCTTCATTATAAAAAAAAGGTCATTTTCAAATTGTTTTTTATAATTAAAGTGATTTATTATTGGATATAGTTTTTTTTAATTATTGAATAAATAAAGTTTACTTTCATTACACTTAAGCAGATTAAATTATTATGTGTTATATATATTTGATTAAAAATTAATTATTTTACATCAGTGATTATAAGTTAGTATTAATCAATTATATAGTTTCAAAATCTTAATTTTTTTTATTTTTCTTCTTCTTCCTCGCCTTAATCCCAACTAGTTGGGGATCGGCCTCCCTTATACTAAACTTCCACTTGACACGATTTCCCACATCATGTACACTCACATCAGCTATCCTCATATCGCATTCAATAGCATTCCTCGCGGTAATGAATCGAATATCAAGATTTGCACACGAAGGCACAACGCTTTGCCGATCGATCAATACAGGCTGTCGAGTCAATATTATAGACTATACTTTATTAAATAATTAAGTTTTATAGCACAATCGATAATATAAAAATAAAAAATTTTTAAGAAGAAAAAATTATTAAGCGCACATTTTATTGTTTTTTTTTTCTGCGCATACATGCATTATACTTTGCTCTTTATAAGTGCATATAATTCCGTGTTCAAATTATAATTGATTAAATAATACTCATCAATTCAATGATAAAAATTTACACTTTAATTTTCTTTATTGGAGAAATCCTTATTTTTAGTTTGTTGATAGAACAAAAATGTTCAATCGATTTTGTTCTAATATTTTTTTTATCAACGGTTCTTTTTTTCAAATTTTTTAAAGATTTGGAATTTAAATATAAATTCATTGTTAATTTGGTTTTCACAATACTGGAGGCGACAATAATCTTTTTCAATAGGCCATAAATTATTTTTGTGGTCGTTAAGAAGAAAATTTTCTACATCGGCCGCTCAAATTGTACATTAGTAAAATTTTGCGTTGTATATAGTATTATGCGTCTATTAATAGACATGAATTATTAAAGATAAGATTTCTATGCGATAGATAATATTAAGTAGTACCTTTGACGATTAACGACTATTGTATGCTAAACAGAAAATTAGTGAGAACTCACTATTCTTGAACAACCAATAACAGCAGAAAGGGTAAAATCGGGTAAATATAATGATAAGAATAAAATTATTTTTTCTATCTTATCTTCAATCTAAAAATAGTGGTTTCCATCAAAGAAAATTAATGTTTAGGTATTTTATTCTTAAAGAGATGAAAGAATAACAATTAAACTACATATTATAGAATATTTTAAATCAAATAATATTTTCCTTTGGGAAAATTAAAATTTTTCAATAATTTCAAGAAAATCGTTAAGTTTATTATCCTTAATCACACTATAATTTATTGATACAATCCCTGACCCGTCCCATCTTTGTCACCCATCGTCCCACTGCGTGAATAAAATAATTGGTCTAACACCACATGTGCATACGCCACGACACCAAGTCCAGCAAATGGCGCACGACTGACGACAACCCGCCGCAAATATAGAGTGTTCAGTAAGTAAGAAAACAGATTTCTATTTTTCTCATTGTTTATAACAATTTACCTGTTTTCTTACTTACTAAACATTTTGTATGTCACTGTCTATATGTTTGTGGTATATTGCGAAGTATATTTTCAATAGTTTCACGTTACCTAAATTTAAATGAATTATATCTCACTGATAACTGAATAAAATAAAATTTTGTTTTAAAAACTTTATCTAATCTGTTTATATAAAAAATATAGTTTAAAAAAACTAAAAAACACGCTTTTAAAGAATATCGAACTAAAAAGTTATAAATAATTTTTAAAATAAGCGTAAAACAATAATGAACGAAATGTACTAATATTATTGTGATAAAAGCGTCGGGCGCTCAATATACGAAAAATATAGCACAAAGCACCCACGCTTTTATCACAATAATACTAGTACTTTTCGTTCATTATTGTTTTACGCTTATTTTAAAAATTATTTATAACTTTTTAGTTCGATATTCTTTAAAAGCGTGTTTTTTAGTTTTTTTAAACTATATTTATTTTTCACTTTTTAGTTACATGTTATGATAGTAGTTACTATCAATATCATGGTTGTAACGGGTAAAGGGGAATCAGGGTTCGATTCCGGAGAGGGAGTCTGAGAAACGGCTACCACATCCAAGGAAAGCAGCAGGCGCGTAACGTGGAGGTAGTGACGAAAAATAACAATACGAGAATCATCCTCCGTAATCGGAATGAATACACTACATATCTCTTAATGAGAATAAAGTGTATTAATATATAAGTTTTAATAGTAATTAGAATATATATATATATTTAAAGGGACTTAAGTACGTAAACGTATCATGCATGAGGTATAGCCGTGTTTATGTGGGCGGGCATGGCGGAGGGAACATTATACACGAAATGAGGGAACAAATTTATAAGTTTTATAAAATTATAAGTTTACAATTTTGTAAATGATTATTTATATTTTTGAATTTTAAATTAAAAGTTTTTACAGTGCATAACCGATTAAATTATTGGTAATTAAATTATATATATATATATAGCTTTAACTATAATGTTGAAGCTTTTCAACTGTAATTTAATTAATGTAAATTACAATATTTACTTAGTTAAAAATAAAATGTAAAAAGAAATTTATAACTTTGATAAAAAATAATAACTTTAATGATGTTAGAATAATTCACTAGTAACAAAAATTGACCAAGCCAACATAATAAACGGCATACATTTTATATATGTAATTTATTATCAATACTACTGGGCAATAAATATGCTGCCATTTAAAAAATTGAAGTTAGTATCCTTAAAGGATAAAGGATAGACTTAAAAAATATTTAACCACTTATCATTTAAGAGATCAATAGTACTCAACTAAATTAAGTGGTCAATGATAAATCAATCATACTCTAAAGCTAATTTTATTAATTAAATTTAATCTAATTATGTTGTTTATATATATATATGATTAGTAATATTTCACGTAATTTTTATGTAACAGTTTAATACAATTATTGAGTTCTCAATTTAGTAAATAATTATTTATACTTTTAAATTTTGACTTAGAAGTTATTACAATGCATAATCGATTAAAATATTATTAATTACATTATACATATATATATTCTCATATAAAATATAAAATGAAAATTTGTATCAAACATGACAAACATTTCTGCAAAAAAAAAAACAAAAGAATAACTTTCATTTAGTTAAAGTGATGCTTGAATAGTTTGTAACAAAAACTGTCTAAGCCGACATAATAAACAACAAACGTTTTATAAATGCAATTTATTTACCATATGATTAGAAAAATAACACAACCGGGCGGCCTTTTAATAACAATAACTTTAGTATATTTGAGCGACAAATTCAAACATCATTTTCAACTATATTTTAAATACGGCGACCAATTTAAATTCAACATTAGTTAACAAGCCATCTGGCAACATGGTATTGGGAAGCGTTATGTACTATTATAACGCTCTGTCCCCTATAATTATATAGACTTATGGAAGCAACGTTGCCCGATTGCCCGAACTTTTTTCTATCCCACGGGACACGAAAGACGCAACCGAATACTATTCGTAATGATCGATTCCTTTTATTTTATCATTTGACTGCCAAGTCACGTTCTCTCGTGCAATATATTCATTGTACTAAACATTGTTGCCCCTTTAATATTATTCAGCCAATTATTTTATTAGTCACTCCTATTACTAAGCTAGTTAGACTTTAGTATTTATTTTCTCNACTCCTATTACTAAGCTCGTTAGACTTTAGTATTTATTTTCTGAAATATCTTTTCATCGAATTAATTAAATAATCAATAAATTTTTAGCCAATTGGTTATGTAATTTTCTATTTATTCTTTTAATATATGAATATTTTTATTATTAGACGTTTCACGACCGCGTATTTCCGTCTGTCTAAATATAAAAAGTTTTTACTCTTATAAAGGATAAAGGAAGAACCTAAAAATAATTTAACCATTTATAATTTGAGAGATAAATAGTACACAACAAAACCAAAAAAAATATTTCTAAAATTATTATTACTTTAGGAATAATTTAGTGGTCAATGATAAATCTATCACTCTTTAAAGCTAATTAATACATTATAAAAAATAATTTTTAATATTTCATGCAATTTTTATGTAACAGTTTTATAGATTTATTAATTTCACAATTTTCAAAACAATCATTTGTATTTTTTAATTTATAAAATAAAAAGTTATTACAGTGCAAAACCAATTATATTATTATTAATTAAATTATATATATAATGTAAAAAAGTGTTGCTTAAATAATTTGTATCAAGAATTGTCTAAGGCAGACATAATACACAGCATATATTTTATAAGTGCAACTTATTTACTATATAAATAGAAAAAAACTGGATTAAATTATTATTAATTACATTNACACTAGACTGTCAACACTAGACTGACTATTGCTGCAAAATAGTCGTACAAAGAAAACAAGGGGACATCCGCATACGGATGTCCCTATCAATTATAAACATATATTCGCAGAGATAAATATTTAATAAAGTGGTGGAGCCACAACACCACCCCCCTAAAACTAGGGCTCATGTTCCATGAAGCCCGAAGTTTTACATACATAAATAATTAATAATAATACAATAATATAATATAATATGACATAAATCGAATATAATATAATAATATTATAATTCTACCCACTAATAGTGTTACAATTATAATTCGATACGACATAATGTTTAACGTAAGAACTCTATGAGGTTCTTATATCTAATTATTTTGACCAGGTAATTGAATATACATTTAGTGTATGTGACATCCACACATGGGTCATGTGCATATGTTATATCATGTAATTTGGAACAAACTACCCCGTGAGTTTCTAACAGATTTAGCTGATAACCATTTTTCTCTACATACCCAAGTATATATGTGTATATTATTTTCTTTTTCTGTACATGTAGAAGATCCAGATAATATTGGTCTTCTACACGACGGGTAGTTATATCAAGTTGGATTTTTATTGCTGGAATTCTTAATCATTCTAAAATTTTCCAATCAGTAAGCCCATTCCAGGTAACTGTTACTGGAGTCCTACCGTCCCAATGGAAATACCGAGTTATATAAGGACCATTTAACGAATTCGTTGATGCCCCCTGACTTTTATTTAATTGGTCCAGAATTGGGTGCAATTTGTCTTTCTTATTTTTAAATATTTTTTTAAGTCTTTTTTCTAAAAGAGCAATAGAATGTTTCTTCCTCATAACCTGTAGTCTCCCAGTAAATAGTCTAAGTGGTTTTCCATGTAATGGTTTGGGCGCATACTTACCCATGCTGTTTGTCAACGACCCCGATATCAGTATAATTTCCTCTTTACTTACTGGCAGGAATTCAAAATCGGCAATTATGAATTTGTAAATGTCTTTGCTATAACACATATTTAAACATGTTAATTATATCCCCATTATTTGTACTATATACCTATACATTTTATTTATTTATACAATATATATATATTTTCTGTTCATTATAAATATGCCCGCTATTACTTATAGTGAGGACATAGGAATGGAGGATGGTATTATAATATTTCTTGTATTTTTC